GTGGCTTGTTTAACAAAAGGCTCTGAGTTATGGTTTTTGACTTTTTTTTTTTTTTTCATCCCTCTTCTCTTGACATTCAATCCTAGTGTTTAATTTAATTCCGTTGAATAGATTAATAAGGTTTGTTTTCCAATTTTTTCACATGAACCATTCAACATCAATTAGACTTAAGTTAAAGTTTATCCCCGGTAGTAAAAAGCTCAAATATTTTATATTCTTCTTCGGAGCCTATTTGACTCGAGCAATTAAACTTGTAGGGTTTCTCATAACCTAGTGCATATAATCAATTGACTTGGGTTAACCGGCCTTAGCTTGCTACAGGGGTCTTTTTAGTCGCTTAATTGAGAAGAACCTGCACTTAAAATGTGAAAAATAATTATGAGCTTAAAATAATGACAAATATGAAAAAGGGAAAATTACACCTAGCCCTGTTTTTAGATATTCATTTTCACAAATCAGGTCATAGATTTAACTTTTCAAAAATCAAGTTTTTTTTATCTTTAAATTAATATTAATTATATAATTCACCTCAATTAATTAAAATAACAAACTTAGCCCTACCGTTTTCTCTCTCCACCCCCATTCTCTCATCCCCCTCTCTCTCTGTAGAAATCGCCCGGGCGCCGCCCAACCCTGCCTCCATCCACCTCCTCATTTCCCCTAAACGACGGTGTTGCGAAGTGACATCGCCTCTCGGAGCGGCGACATTGCCCCTTAGAGCGGCGTCGCTGACGGTGTTGCGAAGTGACGACGGCGTTGCTGCAACAACGGCGTTGCCATTGGTGGTGTTTGTGATGACTTCCCAGTGTTTTTGTGGTGTGGTGGTGTTTTGCAGTTGGTGGTATTTGTGTTTGGGAGGTGATGTGGTTGTTGTGGTGGGTTGTGTGTGGTGGTGTTGTGGTTGATTTAGCGGTGATGGTGGCGGCGGAGTTGGTGCCCAGCAGCAGATTTGGGAATTTTTTTGGTGAGGGGTGGTTGTTTTGGAGTGGTAGGCTGGCGGCGGTGGTGTTAGTTGCAGTGGTGATTTGGTTGTTTTTTGTGCTGTGGTCCGGTATGAGACGGTGGTGGTGGTGGTGGGGTTTTTTGGTTGTGGTGTGGTGCAGGCGGCGGTTGTGTGGTGGTGGCCCTTTTTTGTTGTTGTTGGAGATGGTGTGGTGGTTTTGTGGTGCCAGTGGCGGTTGTTGGTGGTTTTGGAAGTGTTGTGCAGGTGGCAGTCGGCGGTGGTGGTTGCTAGCGGCGGTGTTTGTGGCGGTGGTGGTTGCTGGGGTGTTTGTGGCGGCGGTTTATGCGGTGGCAGTGGTGTGTTTATATGGTGTTGGGACGACGGTGGTGGTCACAGAGGATTTGTTGATTGTGACCATTAAATTGGTTGGTGTGCGACCAATAAAGAATAAATTGTGACCGATAACTATTTTGTGACCCACAAATTTATTAATTCGTGACCAATAAAAGTTATTTGTGACCTATAATTCGTTGTTTTCATGTTTTGTGACTATAATATAAGATGTGTGACTTAAAAATTTTATGATTTGTGACCGATGAAACAATTGTGACTTTAAAATTTTTAATTTGTGACCGATGAATGAATTGTGACATATCAAATTTTTGAATTGTGAGTCTGTGACCTTAAAATTTTTGAATTGTGACCAAATTGTATAGATCTGTGACCGTTATATATTTATTAATAAAATATATAATTAACTAAGTAATTCATAAATAAATTTAAATAAAAACCTGATTTTTGAAATTTAAAAAATCAAACCTTAATTTTGAAATGTGTATAAGTAAAAGCATGAGTTATGTAGACTTCCCTATGAAAAATATATATGCAAAAAGTTAGGGGGAGAAAAGAAAATATCTACACAAAATGAGTTTTTGTTTAAAGGTCATAATGTGCTTTAAATGGTTTGACTTTCATAAGTAGATGAATACACTTATTGGCAGTGATGTTTAGTATGTCCTTTCTCACAAAATTAAGGTTTGGAGTCCTATTTACAGAGGATTAGTGACACTTAACACATATGAGTCACTTATACAATTTACTTCATTTTGACTTAAATTGAGTATTTGGGGAAGTTTACTACTTGTTAATTATACTTGTGCATGTTATCAATTGTTTTTTGGCTTGTTATATATTCATATTTAAAATTGAATTTGACATTGCACCCTCAGTCATTTGTGACAAAAAGGGGGAGAGTTTGCATTGCATATCATATGCACAGCTGTTTAAGTTTTTGATTTTTTTGATGTTAATATTTCGGTTGGTGTTTTAATTGACATTAATGTCACGTCTCAAACTAGCATGCTTATTTGTGTTTATGATTTCCTGTATCACATGTTTTTACACTGGGTATTGAGTTTTTTATTTCAGGAAACATGTATACCAAGGAATGCAAGAAATAGAAGAACTTGAGTTGGGCAATTTAATTTGATAGGTTGATTATTTTACTACCTTGACTTTATTTGTATAATTTTGTCACAGAATGTCAAAGGGGGAGATTGTTAGGTTCAAAATTGTAATTGGCAATTCTGTGAACAAATATGACTTAATTGAACATGTGTAATAGTCAATGAGTGAAGTACAATTTTGTATAGTTGAGTTAGGTAGCTTAGGGTTCGAGTTCAAGTTTGGAAACAGGGAAAAAGCATCGCCGAAATTTCGCTAGTTTCCACCTGGACATCTCTCGAGCGACAAAAACAAAACCATTTTCGCTCACTTATCGACCGGAGTCGCTCGAGAGACGGACCCTTCACTCAAGCGACATGTCCCCTCACTCGAGCGACAATATTATGCGGCTAACCCTAGTTCGCGATTTTGGAGAGTTTTACACGACTCATACTACTCATACACCTCCAACTATAAATATAGAGCGTTTTGCACGAAAATTGGTGGTTGCTTCATCGTGGTTATATTACATAACACATTCACATCATCTTTTGAGAGATCCAAGAACACAATTCATTGATGAATCATTCATATCATTTTTGAGATCCAACAACCAACTTTTGGGAAAACATCAAAGTTCGTGAATCCAAAACACCCGACTTCCTTAACACTTTGAGGAATGTACTTTCTCAGTTGGATTTCAGAAGTTTATGGAGGTTGAGAGATGTTGGACTACAAGCACAGAAAGAAGAACAGGAATATGTGATTCCTGGATATCCACTTAGAAGAGACTATTGAAGAAGATCGGGAGTCCAAAATTTACAGCGTATCTTGGAAGCTACAGGAGGTAGATCAGGAGATCTAGCAGGTTGGCTAGATAGTATCTACGATAGCGGATCGTGAGTCTGGAGGAACAGCGGATCTTGGAAATTACATGAATTACAATAGTGGGAACTAGTGGAATTTGCTAGGCTGGAAACAAACTGTAATCCACATTATCTATAGTGGATGTAACTGTCTTGGTCCCGGAGTTTTTACCCAATTGAGTTTCTCCGTCATCATTTTGGTGTTCATTCTTTATTACTTTCCATAGTACAAATTGTGATATTCAAATATAGGATAATTGAATTGTATGCTTAATCATCTAGAAACTGTTAAAAAGTGACTTGTTGTTTTTTTATAGAATAATTCCGCACGTATGATCGAACTTAGTAAACTACGTATTTCCACATTCCACCTTGATGCCTTCAGAAGTGTATTCGCGAATCGAGTAAATGAAATAAATTTTCTCGTGTTGTCATTTTAAGTTGGTTGTAAATCTTGGTTTGATAGTTTGTATAGCAAAGCTAAGGATATGACAAAACGTTGCCCTAAACTATGTGCTTCACTCAATAACTAACATAAGGAACGTGACTTATATTTAATTTGAGAGAAAGTAAAGGAAAGAAAGCCAGCATGACGTCAAACAACACATATTTCTACAAAAGCTCTATATACAACTCATAAACACAAATTAAATGCTTGCTTGACTTGTCGGGGATTGAAATGTCAGCACTAAGCAAGAAGTTGGTGATGCCACTTAACAGAATGCCTTTATTGAAGCTTATTGTGCCTTCAGTTGTGAAAAATAACTCCTTTTTGTCATTTCAAAATTATTTCCACTTGCAATAAGGGAAGGCTTTACAAAAGTGGAATGTGACTCTACAATAGTAGTGTTGGTAACTATCAATGCTTTTGCACCGTTTGTTTCTTATATTGAAATTTTGCTAGCTTTTTATAGGTTGTGGTTCATGTCTGGTTATTTTAGGGACTCACAATTCTCCCTTTGTAATGATAGGTTATAGCCTATAGGTCCATCCATTGTTGTCCTATTTTGAAGTGTTTGATGAATATTATTGAGAAAAAAATGTATTTTAAATAGTGATATTATAAGAAATATGTGGTTAAAAAGTAAAGAAAAGTTATTGATGTGATGTAAAATATTATTTTATTGCAGAATGCGTGGTTAGAAATGAGTTTGCTCTACACTTAAAAAATAAATTTTCCCTCTTTAAGGACGTGTTCGGTAGAGATTAAAATTAAAAAATTATTGTTAACTTTTATTAGACGAGTGAGACCCAATAACGGTTATATTTTCAATTTTAATTGGATTTTAAATTTAGTCAAACATGCTCTAAGTTTCAAGAACACATTCTTTAAATAATCAATTTCTACTAATTGGAAGAAAATGTAGAACAAACATGAGTTAAAAATAATGGACTTTGTTAGGTGTACATAATCGTTTATATAATGGTTTACATAATTACATGTGGCACGTATTCAACCTTTAATTTAAATCTCATACTTTCACATCAATCGAATGATTGTCACGTCACATTATGTATCCTTATGTACATAAATTATGTTCAACAAACATTATCCAAAAATAATCTCCAGAAGCATATACACTAACTGCGCGTACGAGCCTAAGTCGCTCTATCTGTCCCCTCCCTTTCTCTCCCGTTTCGAAATTCCTAAAATTTTCTTCAATTTCACTCTTATATCTCCTCTGAATCGAAATTATTTTTCTTTATCGCTCTTCAAAATTTAGGGTTTCGACTTGAATTCGAATGAGATGATATCCACGATGAGCACCAACAAAAATGGTTTGTCTGACGGAAAAGACGAAGATGCTGTTGAAGATGAACACAAGGTCGGTTTCACCAGTAGTAGCAGTGGCGCTTTAGGCGGAGGAGATGCGGGCTTGAATCCAGGGAGGCCTTCGGAAGAAGCTAGGGTTTCTGGTGGAAGTGCGGGTAAATCAGAGCAAGCTACGTTTTCTGATGTTTTGAATGAATCTCGAGTAACCAATGTGAAAAATGAAGAAAATAAATCTGTTGATGCGTATAGAGTTTCGGAAAATCAGGATAGTTGTTCTATTCCGACTGATTCTTGGGACGATAAGAATAAGATGCCTATTGGTATGGAAGCAGATTATGATTCTCTTCTCTCGGGATTTGACGAGTTTGTGGCGAATGGAAATGGAGAAGCCGTCGGCAATGGGTACCAAGTTGGTGACATGGTGTGGGGCAAAGTAAAATCCCACCCGTGGTGGCCTGGATTTATACACAATGAAGCCTTTGCTACGCCTTCTGTTCGGAGAACCAAACATGAGGGCCATGTGTTGGTGGCATTTTTCGGGGATGGTAGCTATGGGTGGTTTGAACCAGCCGAACTAATACCATTTGAGAAGAACTTTGCGGAAAAATCTCGGCAAACACTTTCACGGACATTTTTAAAGGCAGTGGAGGAAGCTGTGGATGAGGTATCTCGAAGAAGGGGTTTGGGTCTTATCTGTAGATGTCGAAACAAGTTTAATCTTTGGCCTACCGGTGTTGAGGGATACTTTATTGCAGATGTAGCTGGTTATGAACCTAGCGCAGTTTATCCCGCAAGTCAGATTGAAAAAGCACGAGGCAGTTTTCTTCCCAGGGAGATGCTCACTTTCGTACAACAGCTAGCCTTGAAACCCTTGTCAGATGAGTATTGGATGCTAGATTTTATCAAGAACAAGGCCACGGTTTTAGGGTTCAGAAAGGCCCTGTTTGAGGAGTATGATGAGACATATGTACAAGCCTTTGGTACTGAGTTTGTGCGCCCTGCTCGGCCCACGAAGCCACCTGTTATGGATTCATCTAAAGGTATTGTTTATTATGCCTTTTTGAAGATTTGGTGGTGTATTTGTTGTATGTTCGCTCCGCTAATCTTCCTGCCAGTGCATCTTAATTACGTGAACATGGAAGTCTAATGTGTTTGAGTAGTTCCCTTTAATTTTATGGGGATTGCTTTATTGTGGTTGTGGGTTATCTAGGACTGATATTTGAGGCGCCAAACAGCAGAAAATTTTTTCCACTCAGTACATATAAAAAAATTTCATAATCCGGACCATTTAAATATGCCTTTTTGTATCTCTCAACTGATAGATGTCTTTGATAGCACCACCATTTGGAGTGACATCTTGTGATGAGTTCTGACTATAATATGGCAAGACTATGATGCAGCGAGAGTTGCTGCTATGCTATTTAACTATAGCAATGATTGATATTTGAATAAGAAATTGTGAATAGGATTAGTCTCCATTCAATAACTTGTATGCACATGATAAAATAGTTTATTAGAACCTGCACAGGTTTTCTTGTTGTATGTCGTCTTCTTATCATAGGGAGCTTATAATGTTCGAAGAGAGGTGGATCTAGGGCAACAAACTTAATGTCGATAGATATTTTAATTTAGAGATGGGAATGAAGCAAAACAATTGTATTTTCTTTAACTAAAATATATTTGCTTGTAGTATTTACCTGTACACGCGAGTACACTTGACTAAAGCTAATGATTGGATGTTGTATTAATGCTTTGTCTTCTCACTCTTGCCTTATTGTATGTTCTTGCTGTTAAACTTGAATTCTTTTCTCCGACGATTTCTTTTATTTTTTTTGTTTCATTTTATCGGTCATGCCTTTCTTTGTATGTCCACTTGATGCTGCTTGAAGTTTTTCTTCGAGTATCTAGGTATGCAGAAATGTAGGAGTAGAAATTGAGATGGATTTATTCAGCATGTAATCTTACACCCACTTTTCTAGTGTGATGTAGCTGCTATTTGATCCCTCTGCGTCAACCGTACGAGATGCTTTTCCCATTTGGGTCCACCGTGTTGGCTTTTTCTATCAATAAACAAAGATATCTTTCATTTATATTTGAGTGATGACTACTATCAAATGTACAATACATCCATAAAAAGAAAAATACACTTATTTTTTTATGGTGAATTTGGTGGAAGCAATGCTTAAAAATGATAAATCGGGTATCGAGGTGTTTTGCTTTAGCCTAAATCGATGCACTTTACAGTATAAGCTTAAATAACAACTAAAATATTAAATTTTTTTACAGAAATACAAAATTGTAGTCGTAATAAACCATCTAAAATATTCATAATAGCTCGTTTTAACCAAATTAAAAGATTGCACCTCGCAAAATGGATGAAAAAGTAGCAAACATTAAAGTTACAGTGTAATGTTCTCATAATGAGACCATTAGTAGTACTAGAATTAAAAGTCTGAAACAAAAGTTATTCAAGAATTGCTTGCTATGACTTTGAAAGAATATAAAACAAAATTGAAGCAATAACTGCAAAATATTAGAAGAAAAGTTCAATATTAAGCGTCATAGGTATCGTAGGCTGGCCTTCTTCTGCTGGAAAATTGTACCTTCACGTGGGAGAAGGGTTTATTGTACTTAAGTTATAGGAGTCTGGGGCTTGCCTTGTTCCTCGTCCCTATTTCTCTAAATATTTCATTCTAGTTTCTAGAGTTAAGTTGGGTTTGAAATAGTCCAAAAAGCCTACGAAGTGTCCAGAAGGGCTAGAAAAGTGAGTGCACACCTCGACCACCCTAGGCTTATGTCTTGGAGACAATGGTGTAAGAGATTAAATATTGTCTTTGAGATGCTCATGAAGACTTTGCCTGAGGTGTGTCTCAAAGCCTAACTCCTTGGTGCTTTTTGGAGACAATGGTGTAAGAGATTAAATATTGGCAAGTATAGGTGCTCATTATAGTACACTTGCAACAATTTAGCCCATGTTTTGGTCCCCATTCCTTAAAACTCTTTTATCTCCAAACTCATTTTCAATCAAACATTTTATGTGACTCACAACTTTTATCAATTTTTTAACAACATATTTCATCAACTTTTATCGAATTCTACTGAAAATCTAATTATTATCCAAACCAAACAGGGGTTAGTATTGCTTTACCCTTAGTTTGGCAATTTCGCTTATTCTACCAGGTTCATTAGCCCAACTCAATACTCTGTAGTTATGAAAGGTGTGTTTGAGCCACATTATTTTGGAAGAATGTATTTTGGAATAGTAGATTGATGAAGAATGTGTGGTTGAAAAAAAAAAGGAATAGCTATTGATGTGATGGAAAATATTATTTATTGAAGAATATGTGGTTGAAAATGAGTAGAAGAATGAGAATGAAAATTTTAATGTGGCTCAAACGTGGGCGAAATATTTACTGATCTCCATAAATCTAAGATATTGGTCCGTCTTCAAAAGAACATATAACATACAAATTAGTTGGTCTTATTTCTTTATGCTTTGCTGAATAGACTCTCCATTCATTAAATAACTTGTGTCAAACACTTACTAGAAGCAATTGCTTTTATATGGCAATGTTTTAAATAATATGAGGTGTTCATTAGGAGTCAAATATTATGCTTTGAGTGTCCTTTTTCAAAAAACGGTCAACAGTTAAGGAACATTTTGTCGTTCAATTACATAAACAAGATATATTGGAAGATAATACAACTCACAAGGGCAAAAACTCATACTGAAATTGGGTGCATCATCTGAAAACTTCTCAAGACCAATAAAATATGACATGTTTGAGAAATAAATGAAATAAATGGGAAAGAAACAAAACAATGCTGAAGACAACGATTCTAAGCAGCGGTCATACCGGCACCTTGATATGTTGCTTGAAACAACCAATATAAGCCACTGTTATCAAAATTATTGAGAAAAAGGGGTATTATGAATAGTGGTTTTTTGGAAAATGTGTGATTAAAAAGTATGGAAAAGTTTTGGATATACATACAAAGTATGTTATTGTATTGTGGTTGAAAATGAGTACGAGAATTAAAGAGTGTTGTTTTAAAGGGAGACAAATAGTGGCTGAGCTTATTCTGTTTGGGCATATTTGATTAGTGCTGTGATTTTCGTCTCTTTTTCCTTCTTTTGCTAACCTCGCGTGTGACTGGAGCTCGAGTGCCTCAGACAAGAGGAGTGAGGATCATTTTGCTCATTGTCTTTCTAAATGGTTGCAAATGGAAACCAGTTCAACTTGGCAAAATTACCATGTAATCAAGAGCTAGATTTATTGATTCATCGCACGTGGCAAATAGATGATTGTATGGTTGGTCTTGCTAGCCTGATGCAAAGCAGGTGACTTGGGCTTTGTGGTGTTCAATTTAGTGATGCAAGCCTTCTATACAATATTTATTTGCATTCTTAAAAGAAATTAAGAGGTGAACAGTTGCTAATTATATCTTAATTTGATAATATGGCTTTTTATATTTCTCTAGTTCATTTCTATTGCGAATGTGATTTGTTTGAGAACTTTGGAACTGGATAAGCCTAAGGGGATCAATCCTTCCAGCAGGCGGGACATAAAAATTAATTCAGCTTGGGCTCATTTAGAGTGGGCTTGGACTCTAAAGCCCTTTTACATAATGGGTTAACAGTATTTTTGTTGACCGAGCATGGAAGATTCGAGTTGTCTCTTTACCTCTTGGTTTGGTAGAACAAGACGGACCTGTATACAGTCTACCAGTTTTTGCAGTCAAACAAATAATTTGAGCTAGGTTCCAAGAATATTTGGACTTCTATGCACCTTTTAAGTTAATGTAAGAGCTTTTTGGACATGTAAAATGGGAAGGTAAAACTTTACTCGACATGATATGTTTATGGAGACTTGTAATAATCATATCAATATTTGTTTGCTCACTACATCGAACTTTTTTGTGATGAATAAGAAGGAAACAAAGAGTTAAAATCCTCTAATGCTTTTTGGCCATATGCTCTTCTGAAGATGTAATTCATGGTATGAAGCCAATATAATTTTAGCTGTGATCTTGGTTAATGTCTGATATGATTAAACAATTCTAAGAACAAACTACATTTGGGAAAATATATTTTTTGGAGAAAATGTTTAAGAAATTGAGAAGGTGCTTCTTACTAGAATACTGTAGACAAATTCAATTTATTTCTTACACCAATGATGTATAAGGGAATATTATTTGCCATAATATTTCTATAGCTACTCTACGTTGCCAATGCCTTCCTTCTCAATATAATCACTTGTTAGGAGTCGGATTTCACCATATTAAGCTGAAAGTAGTTAATACTATGAAAATAAATTACGTGATATCTCAAAAAAGAATTTATGAGAATTAAATAAATTGTGACATGTTATCATAGATACATGGGTAAGTACTTTCTTCTGGACTTATCTATCTGTTAGTACTATTATTTCTCTTATAAACTTGTCCTGGGAAATTCATTTTAGTTGAAAACTATCTAAATTTATAAGGCTTTAAAAACCATTATTGTTGACTAGAAAAATAATGCTTCTACTTTATTTGTTCATAATCTTGTTTAATCTATATTTTTAATAGTTAATGACAACAAAAAGTCGTCTTTTAACTAACTACAAATGCGAGCTAACAACTGCTTTAAAGGAAGTCCACTGATCACGTTGAAGCTAAAATTTGACTTCTGATAAATCCGGGGGTGGAGGCAACAAAGTAGGCTTACGTGTATGTTGTAAATGTATTTACATAAAAGGTGTTGACATATATGCGTAGTTGTCAAATAAGTTTTGACATTCTTTGTTGACTCATCTCATCTCACGTATCGTCTAGAAGGAATGGTACGGAAGATTGTTGGTGGACTTTAGGAGCTATTAATTTTGTCCTTTAGTTGGTCTACCTTAAATGTTGAGGGGATCACCTTTTGATGGGAAAATTTCTCACTCTGAGTATTTAACTATTTACCTTCTTGTGTGCCATACAATAAATTTTTCATTCGTTATTGCTTTAGTTGTTCACATGGTTTAAAAAGGCGCGCCTTGCGGCCTGCCTCACTGTGAGGCGCATGTAGTATGCTTCGAGGCGGTATTTTTTAGGCTAAAAATATGATACTCATGCCTCTAAATCTGAGGCGCACGCCTCAAGGCACGCGCCTCATTTAAAATTTGATTTTTCAATTGTATGTAAAGAAATCAGAAAGTGCTCTTCTTAAAAAAGAAAATGGCCAATTTAAAAAGGCATCTTGGGCCCAAACAAAACAATAAAATACCTAGAAAACTAAATGGCAGCCAGAAATTAGAGGGAAGGAAAATGTCACATTGCAATTGGTGGATGAGGAAGATGATTTTGTAGAAATTGAAAGTAGCGAAGAGGAAGATGATGGAGAAATTAGATATGATGATGATTTCATTAATAATGCTATTAATAGTGATGATAGTGCAAACTATTAGGCTTTTTTTTTTAGTTTAAGCTGCTTCTTTTTTATTGCAAATTGAGTGNTTATTTAGATTTTTTGTTTTTTGTGAGGCTTACTCCTCGCCTCATAAAAAAAAAACCGCCTCAGTACTTAGTTTCGCCTTTTTAAACTTTGGTTGTTTATGAAGTTATGCTCCATCAACACTTCCCCAAATCTTGCACCTGTTAGTGCTTGCTGCCACTTGTTCACCTCTTGTTTAGCTTTAGTTGTTATCTTAATATAATGTTATTGTGTTCATGAAGTCATGCTCCATCAACACTTCCCCAAATCTTGCACCTGTTAGTGCTTGCTGCCACTTGTTCACCTCTTGTTTAGCTTTAGTTGTTATCTTAATATAATGTTGCCCAAGACAATCATTGAGATATATCTGCATTTAATTATTTGGAGTCTTCGATATGGCATAATGACGATTGTTCTTAATCTCTCGTGCCTTTTGTCCATTGACCTGTGTAAGTTGGGCGTTGGGGGATACGCTAGGCTAATACGATTATTTCTAAAAGTAATAGGTCAACGACAACATTTTTTCATAGGTCAACGACAATATTGTTGGTGTACTCAAGGGACTATTAATTGTCCATTGGTCTCTCCAACCGGCGCAACTAACTCTATTACATTGTTGGAGGTTGATGGGGTTACGTATGAGGATCCACAAGATATTGTGACTCTGCAGGTGAGATTTTATCAGAATCTCTATCGGGAGCACTTTGTGTGGAGGCCTGAGCTGGAGGGGCTAGACTTCTTCATTATCACCGAAGAGGATGCTAGTTGGGTTGAGAGACCATTTGAGGAGGAGGAAGTTAGAGATGTGGTGTTTAATATGAATGATGATAAGGCTCCTGGACCGGACGGGTTTTCGTTCTCATTCTATAAGGCTTGTTGGGAGGTGGTTAGTTCAGACATTATGGATACAATCAATTACTTCTTCGAACGCGGCAGGTTTGTGAGAAGTCTTAATGCCACATTCATTGTGCTTATTCCTAAGAAACCGGGAGTAACTGATATTAAGGACTACCGCCCCATTAGCCTGGTTACTGGGGTTTATAAGATCATTGCTAAATTGTTGGCGAATAGATTAAAGGAGGTTCTCGAAAAAGTGGTGTCCAAGTTCCAGAATGCTTTTTTAAAGGGGCTTCAGATTTTGGATTCAGTTCTTATAGCGAATGGATGCATTGACTCAAGAATACGTCAGGGGATCCCAAAGATGTTGTGTAAGCTTGATATTCAAAAGGCGTATGATCACGTCAATTGGGGATTTCTTATGTATATGCTTAGGCGATGCGTCTTTCGGGATAGGTGTAAGTGGATTCAATTCTGTATCTGTACGGTTTCTTTTTCAGTTTTAGTTAATGGTAACCCTGAAGGTTACTTCCGGAGTAGTAGAGGTTTGAGGCAAGGTGATCCGTTGTCCCCCTTGTTGTTTGTTATTGTGATGGAGGCATTCAGTAGAATGATTAAGAAAGCTGTGACGGAGGGTTTGTTAAAAGGTTTTGCGGTTGGTCATCTACAGGAAATTGTTTTACTTGACTTTGTATAGTTGGTTTAAGGCTGTAACCATTAGTCCGATAGAAGGGTTGTCGAATTTTTTATCGTTTCTATCTTGTTTAAACTGATAATGCACTCCTTGTGTATTATCTTTTGATTTTCATTTATAAAATTACGTGATTACCTATCAAAAAAAAAAATTGTCCATTGGGCTCGCACTCTCGCTTTAAATGTTGTTTTAACTATTTACCTGCATGTATGGCATGCCATAGAAATTTTACTTGGTACCTTTTTTATTTTTCTTGAAAATGTGCATCATCAACTCCTCCCCCGGCTTTTGCAACTCTTTTTGGTTTCTGCCACTAGCTCTCAGCTTGTTTTGCGTTAGTTGTCAATCTTAATTTTATGCTTTTGTTTGGATAATCATTGAGATCCAGCTTCATTTTTGCAATTCACCGATATAGCAGAATTAATATTGTTATATTAATCTTTTATTCTTTGGTTCACTAGTCATGTGTTTCTTGAGTAGAGATGAGCATGTCAGCTTTACCAGTAAACTGTATTTATCTAAGAACTTGTATCTTTACGGTTTTTCTCGTCATTTTTGTAATTCTGTGTCATCTTGCAGATCCTTTGAGTGGCCGGCTCGTCATTGCAGAAGCTCTTGGTAAGGAGAAGAGCTCTGCAAAACCTATTAGAATAAAGGACCAAATTGAGAAAGAAAGGTATCTATTTAAACGCCGAGACACACCAAATGAGTTTAAGGCTAAAAAAGCAAGCTCGACGCAAGTAGGCTCCTCTAGTCAGCCTCTTTCGGAAGATGGGTCGCATGTTTCTGGGATAGTTGATTATTCTGGCATGTCTGAGCATGTGCATCAGACTCCCGATACCAGTGTTTCTGAAGGCCTTGACCTACCTACAAGTCATCAGTTTTCTGCTGAAGATTTACACAAAAAGAAACTTCAGGACGTTTGCAGTGGTGTGCATCCTTTTTCTCTATTTTTTCAGTACACATCTTCGCTGTTTAGTGATTACTAAGCAAACTCATGGTTTAGGTCCCAAGAAGCTTTTGGACAATGGAGCTAAGAAAGCAAAGGTACGCAAGCGTCCTGCTGGGGAAATAAGCACTGAGAATCCAGTTCTGACAGAGAAGAAGAAGAAGAGAAAGAATGAAATAGGCATTAGGGTTAACCATGTGCAGATACCTGGCGTTCTCGATAACAGCGGAGCAGCACCCGTGAGAGTTTCAGGAACATCTGCTCAAGTTTCTCTGGGTGAAAAGTCTCAGCTTCCTTCAATGGAAACATGGCAGGCTGTTGGGATAGGGGATGCAGAGTTTGAACTTGCAGTGCTACTGAATGATTTACAAGCTCTTGCTCTCAACCCCTTCCATGGCGTGGAAAGGAGGAGTCCAGCTATTATCAAGCAGGTTTTATCAAAATTCCGATCTCTCGTCTATCAGAAGAGCTTGGCCTTGTCAGCTCCAGCAGAGAATGATTTAAACGAAGCTCGTGCAAGTAAATTACCTGCTGCCAGATCTCCAATCATTTCTGCAGAGAATATCAAAGAGGTTTCAACTGTGAAGCCTGTTAAACCTCTAGTCACGCATGATGATCTAGGCAAAGTTGGAAAGAAACGTGGTCCATCTGATCGTCTCGAAGAAATTGCTTCAAAGAAAAAGAAGAGATTTGACGATGTGAAATCATTAGTAGCAGAGAAGAAGGCTGCCCAGAAGGCTATAGACATTCAACGAGGGGATGTAAAAGAACCAGGTGCGGAAATTGTATCACTAACATCAAAAAAAGCAATTAAAATGGAATCTAGCAAGAGGATAGAGCAGCAGCCAACAAGAGCTGCTGATCGTGCAATGCTTGTTATGAAGTTTCCACAAGGAGGAGCACTTCCTTCAATTGCAGAACTGAAAGCGAAGTTTGCTCGTTTTGGTCCATTGGATCACTCCAGTACTCGAGTTTTCTGGAAGTCATATACGTGCCGTGTTGTCTACCAGTCCAAGGTTCATGCTCAAGCTGCCTTAAAGTTTGCTGCAGGAAGTAACAATTTATTTGGAAATACAAACGTGAGATGCTATATCCGGGAAGGTCAAGAATCAGAACAGGCCAAGGTTCAGAAGGACGACTCATCAATTGTGGCCTCCCAACAAACTAAAGATAATGTAGCTGAGCAAAGGGTGGCTGCTAAACTTTCTTTGCCACTGAATCAGCAACCGCCTGCCCAGCTCAAGTCTTGTCTGAAGAAGTCCTCAGGCGATGAAGGCGGCAGTGGTAGAAGCACCCGCGTCAAGTTCGTATTAGGTGGGGACGAGACTCAATTGTTGAGCGGGAATGAGAACACCAATATCATTCCTACTTTTCCCGAGGTTGCTGCTTCTACACGTTCAGTCGATCTTAGTAGTAAGAATTTTGCTAAGATTATTTCTCATTCTGCCAATGCCAATCCTTTGACTTCTAATCAGTTTCAAAATTTGCGGAGTAATATGCCATTTTCTGAGCAAGTATCTGCATCGTTTAATGTCCCACCCGCTCCACACATATCCATCATCCCAAGAACAAACAATGATATTGCACAACAGATGATTAATCTTCTAATCAAGTGCAATGATGTGGTTACCAACTTGAGGGAAACACTCGGCTATGTGCCTTACCATCCTCTATAAACTGGACCACAAAAAAAAAAAAAAAA